AGAGCCGCCCAACAAATCAGATACATTGCTACCGCCGAGGTCTTCACGGCCTCGTATCTGGCTGTCAAAATTAGAGCAGCCCGCTTCAACGCGAGCATCAAGCATATTCGCACGATCAGCATACCAAGTCGGGTAAGCGAAGCGTGGCTGGTCTCGGGCGTATCACCAACCACAAGTTATAGTCAACCTCTGATTGCCAATACCACGGAGGAACATGGAGTGCCCCAAAGGCAGAAGCGGTTGGATACCCATAATCGAATCCAAAGCAGTCCAGACGTTAAAATGATGGTCCGATCAATGTTCACATAGTGGAGCGAGGCTTTACTCAGCCCAGAGGCACAAGTGAGTAACGGAAGGTGGAAGGTGCTAAAGATATGGATTGTTGAGGCTATGCTTAGAGAGGTAGAAGTGCCAGACGGGGAGGACATTTTCAAGCTACTCGACAGGATGCTTATCTGCGCAAAATAGGACAAGCATCATCATATGTACTTGGGGACGACTGTGACCACGCACCGGCACTACGAGTCCAACGAACATGCGTTAGCCACGTTGGACGCCGAGCTGTTCTGTGTACAGATGCCTATGTATTGTATACATGCGCACGGGGCTACCATTCAACGACAGTTATTACGTGTCACTCAAGCGAGAGGCAATATCAACGTGCTACGGAAATGCATCGGTCCGCGGCATACGAGAACATATGCAAGTTACATTCCGCCATTACTGGGTGACTCTATCAGTTAACATGAGCTTGCCAATGAGGCTCATATTGCGGAGGCCTTACGGCGGATACCGCCGACCCTGTAGGCAGCGACGGCGAAGACAGTGGAGGTAGAGGAGTCCAAGATGCCCTCAGATGGCTCGAAGACGGCGCCAGATGCCTGCAAGGTCGTCCGAAGACAGCTCAAGAGGCCTCCTCCAGGGTTCGGGAACGGCTCCAGAGAGTGCCGCGATAGGCAAAGAGCGCCCTCAAGTGGCCCGAGAGGGCGCCAAGACGGCGTCAAGCGAGGTCCAAAAGCGCCCGCAGAGGCTGTCAAAAGTGCCGCCAGATGTTTCCAAGAGAGTCTAAAAATGGCGAAAGGTCTCCAAGGAGCCTTAATATGGGCTGAAAGGGCCCGCAGACGGCCCCGGAGGGCCAACGGAGCCCCAGGACGCAGGAGGATGAGAGGCGGGGGGCTGCGTATCCGAGGGGGGACCACCCCCCGGGAGTTGCCCCGGGACCCCCCCTCCCCCCCCGGGAGTTGCCCCGGGACCCCCCCCTTCCCCTGGCGGGGAAGGGATTAAGGGAAGGGGCTTCCTTTCGACTGAAGGACGACGTTGTTTAATTTTTGTGCGGACTTGTGTGGGGAGCCCTCGGAAAGCAGAAGGGGCGACGACGCTGTGGGGAAGACAGAAAAGCCTCTCCCACACGCCGACAGGGTCGGCGGATTCCTGGATGCATCACCAGGCATGATTGCGTAACTCAGGCTAACTCAGGCTCAGCGCCGAGCTGTTCCTAAGCGGAGGAGGAAGCAGACGAGGAGCAAGAGGAGGGGGAGCAAGGGAGAGGAGGAGGAGGAGGAGGAGGAGGAGGAGGAGGAAGAGGAGGAGGAGGAGGAGGAGGAGGAGGAGCAGGAGGAGGAGGAGGAGGAGGAGGAGGAGGAGGCGAATGAGGAGGAGGAGGATGAGGACGAGGAGGGGGTCGTTTTGGTGTCTCTTGGGGCATCTGTTTGGCCTCTTGGGGGCCTCTTGGGGCCTCTTGGGGGCCTCTTCGGGGTCTCCTGGGGCCTCTTGGGGGCCTCTTGGGGCCTCCAGGGAGCTTCTTGGGGCGGAAGGCTCGGATTTTTGGTTCGGGCTCCCCGTCTTGGGTACCTCTTGGGGCCCTCTTGGGCCGTCTTGGTAGCCTCTTGGGCCGTCTTGGCGCTTTCTTGGGCCGTTTTGGGCGCCTCTTGGGAGCCTCTTGAGCCGTGTTAGGGCCTTCTTGGGGGCTTCTTGGACTGTCTTCAACGCCGTGAAGGGCGAAAAGTAGTATATGGCAAAAGTGCTCGTTTTCCGGAAATCAATGATTTTGGCCTCTCGGGAACGTCCTTGGGAGGCTCCGGGGTTACCTGGAGACATCTCGGAAGCGTTCTTGGAAGCCTCCGTGGCTATACTCGGAGACGTGTTGGCTCGATCTTCGAGCCTCGAGTCGACTTCTTGGGAGCGATCTGGAGCCATCGAGGGCTACATAAGCGATCTTGGAGGTCATCTTCAGGGGGGGTGGGCTGCGTATCTGACCCGGGACCTCCCCCTGGTGCGCCCCCGGGTGCTCCCCCGGGTCCTCCCCCTGGTCCTCCCCCGGGTCCTCCCCCGAGTCTTCCCCCGGATCCTCCCCCGGGACCCCCCTCCCTCCCGCGCCAGGGAAGGGATCAAAGGGAAGGGGCTTCCCTTCGACTCAATGACAACGTTGCTCAATTTGGGTTTGGACCGAACCGCTTGAGGAGGAGGCCCCGGAAAAGGAGAAGACGCTGTGGGAAAAGGGAACAGACCAGGACGACGACGAAGAGGAGGCAGACGGAGAAGCCTCTTCCACACGCCGGCAGGGTCGGCGGATTTCGTGCAAGCGCATCTATGAATTTGCATCGCAGTGATAGCGATGGGTGGCGCATGTTCAACGTCCTGATCTGTCCGGGTACGCGTATTCGTTACTTTTGTTTTAGAGTGGCATTGAGCTTCGATCTCTCATGATTCATTCATTGGGTTTTGTTGGATGATTGGCAACAGGAGCGTTGTGCTGCGCCTGAGTCGCTGACCGCCCAAACGTACCAGAAGGTATTATCTAGATGCGACGGCCGAGCGCGAGCAGAATTGGTGAGACGTACATGCCAACAACAGCACTGCCCAGGATTTTGGTGGCGTCGTCAATGGCGTCAACAGCCAAGAGTTGCCGCGACGAGGAACACGCCGCCGCCGCGCAAAGTGATACATGACATGCACCTCGGAGTTACAATTGTGGAGGAGATGGGCGCGCCGCCAGGAATTTAGGCCGTGCGGAAAAATCCAGAGGGACTTAATTCATAGTTTGGTAAGTGTGGACAGGGCTTTGCTTTAAGGTGATTGATAGAGCGCGACTACCAGGCATGCTGGAATTACAGGGGGGGGGGGTATTTGGCGTGACGAAGGAGGTTGCAACGACAGAGATGGTTACAGAGCAGGGCTCGTACCAATCAATGATTGCGTATGGCGCAAGTGTGGCGAGCAAGGCCTCGCCGCAGCTAGGTGCCCCGAACGCCAACATATCTCAATGTTTGTGTAAGTTCAGTGTTGATAGTTACTCTCGTATTGCTATTTCGAACGGCCCATTGGGACGTGTTGTGGTTTGGGAAGCGTCAGGGTGGACATTGCCGCTTGGCTCAGGCGTCACGCTCTTATGTTAAGTGTGGCATTTGACAGTTCCGCAAACTATAGCACTGGTGTTCACGGCCTTATAGCGGAACGTCTTTCTAGAAATTTTGCAGCAGGAAGGTGCAGAGGAGTTACAGTAGGACGCGGGGGAGAAGGAGGAGGCGAAGGATTTGACGACGTGTCGGGTGCGAAGGAAGGTGAGGTGGACGCGGAGGAGGACGAGCATACATTTGATGACGACGACGACGACGACGACAGTGATGAGGATGATGATGGTGATGATGATGGTGATGATGATGATGATGATGATGATGATGATGTGATGATGATGATGAGGTTGATGCTGAGGCGGTTGATGATGGTGGTGATATAACGCTGATGTTGCTGATGCTGATGATGATGCTTATAGGGGCGAGGATGAGGAATATGATGATGCTGATGCTGATGCTTATGCTGATGATGATGATGATGGTGATGATGGTGATGGTGATGATGATGCTGATGATGATGATGATGATGTTGATGATGATGAGGCTGATGATGATGATGACGATGCTGACAAGGGTGGCTATGGTGATTGTCGTATCAGACACAAGGTGAGAACGACGATGAGGGGTCAACGTCATGGATGTGCGCGACGAGAACGGCAGGTTGTGATAATGCTCATGATGGTGCTGGTGCTGCTGCCGATGATTAGGTTCATGATGATGTTGATGATGATGATGACGATGGTGATGCTGATGATGATGCTGATGACGATGCTGCTGCTGCTGCTGCTGATGATGATGATGATGATGATGATGATGATGATGATGATGATGGTGGTGACGCTAGTAGTGATGACGATGTCGATGATGATGGGGATGAGGAGAAGGAAGATGAGGATGACGAGGTGGAGGATGCTATGAATGTGGGGCGATGCCGACGTTGAAGAGGAGGAGAATGTGGATGCACTGGACAAAAAGGTGGAGGTGGTGAGGAATAGGAGAAGGGCTCAGTGTAGGATGGAGGAGTGGGAGCACTGGGGGGGAGGGGGATGATGATGGAGGATGAGGGGAGGAAGAGAATATTGAGGGGAGACGGAGGAGGAGAAGGAGGAGGAGGAGGAGGACGGGTAGGAGGAGGAGGAGGAGGAGGAGGAGGAGGAGGAGGAGGAGGAGGAGGGGAGGAAGGAGGAGGAGGAGGAGGAGGAGGAGGAGGAGGAGGAGGAGGAGGAGGAGGAGGAGGAGGAGGAGGAGGAGGAGGACGAGGCGGAGGAGGAGGAGGAGGAGGAGGAGGAGGAGGAGGAGGAGGAAGAGGAGGCGGAGGAGGAGGAGGAGGAGGAGGAGGAGGAGGAGGAGGAGGAGCAGGAGGCGGGTTCGCAGTTGGATAAGGCGGAGGTGGATGTGGAGGAGGAACATGGGAAGAGGTCGCCAGAGGATTGAGGTGATGGAGGGGGAGGGGCAAGAAGAGGGGGAAGGCGGGGGAGGAGGATGAAAGGAGAGGATAACGCACAGGAGGGGGATGAGCCCTTCGGCGGTTGTTGTTGGTTGTCGGCTATTTCATTCGTTTTCTGAGATTTCCATCGACGTCTCTGCAGAGGGAGGACGAGGCGGAGGAAGATGAGGAGGCTGAGTAGGATGCTTCGGAGCTCCGTAGCCATTTTGGCCAAGGGGTGAAGTTCAAAATTACCGAGCACAGGTCCTTCCGACTGCGACTCCGATCGAATGGCTGTGCTGCCGCTCCTAGCTTTCCTGGCGACGGCCGCGAGCGTCCTCGTCGCCGAGGGGACGTGCCAGGCCGACGGATGCGTTGCCGACGAGAGCCCCGTGGACGACGACGCGGCCCTGCTGCAAGTTCCGCACGGCCTCAACAAGTCCAGTCATCCATACGCGGCGCTTCTGGACAGCATGATCTACGCGAACGGCAGCAGGGAACCGCCGCCCGTCCACCTTGCCGCGTTGCTGGGGCGGCCCGGCCGCCAGGTACAGGGCGTAATCCTAATCCGCCTGCCCAACGACTCCTCGATCGGCGCCGACTTCGAGTACGACATCTCCGGGCTGACGGCGAACCAGCTCCACGGCTTCCACATCCACGAGGGCCCCACGGACGGCGGCTGCGGCAACGACGACGAGTGCGGCGTGCCCTTCACAGGAGGCCACTGGAACCCCGCGGGTGCGGTGCACGGCGGCCCCATCGGCGACGCCCCGGGGCACGACGGCGACCTGGGGAACATCCAAGCTGACGCCAGCGGCCGCGCGCAGGGCACCATTTACTGGCCGCTGGACATCAACGACGTTCTCGGCAAGTCCTTCGTGGTGCACGCCGACCCGGACGACTTGAAGACGAACCCCACTGGGAACGCGGGAGATCGGATCGCCTGCGGCACCATCACGTTCATCGACGCCCTGCCCACGGTGGCGCCGCCCTGCCTACGGTGAGTCGAGGTGCTCCTAGAGGGGTGAGGGAGGCTCTCTCTCTCCAGGGCCAGGGGCGTGCAGAGGTAGACCCGCCTTGGCGATTATTGAATCGCTCCGCTCATTCCGCCGGCCCGTGGGGGCCTCTTGGGGGCCTCTTAGGGCCTCCAAGAGGCCACTTGGGGGCCTCTTAGAGCCTCTTGGGGGCATCTTCGGAGCCTCTTGGGGGCCTCCTGAAGGCTCTTGGGGGCCTCTTGGGGCCTCTTAGGGGCCTCTTTGGGCTTCCTGGAGGCCTCTCAGGACCGAGGGCTCGAAATGTTGTTTCGTGCTCCCTCTCTGGGGCCGCTCTTGGGGCGCTCTAGCGGCCCTCTTGGGCCGTCTTGGAGGCCTCTTGGGCCGTCTTGGGGCCCTCTTGGGCCGTCTTAGGGGCCCTCTTGGGGCCTCTTGGGCCCTCATGGGGCGATCTTGGGGGCCTCTTGGGCCGTCTTGGGGCGTCGGGAAGCCGAAAAGGTGGAAACACCCAAATCTGTCCAAAACCGAAGGAAACGTAATGATTTTTGCATCTTGGGGCCCTCTTGAGAGTGCTCTTGGAGGCCTCTTGGGGCGTCTGGGGGCCATCTTGGGCGTCTTGGAGCGATCTTGTGGCATCTTCGAGCCCTCTTGTATCATCTTGGGGGCCTCTTGGAGGCCTCTTGACCCTTCTTGGGGCTCTCTGGAGGGTCTCGAGGGCGGCGCCCAGACGGAAAACCATCTCTGACCCGACCCTGCCGGGGTACTTTTCCTCCGGGGACCCCCAGGGGCCACCCCCCGCGCGCGAAGTAGAAATATTGTAAAGCAGTTACCGGAGATCTTAGCACGCCTCTGGCCCGTTGGGCCGGCGAATTTAGTCAGCGCCCCCATCGTTTTTTTCGGCGGCGCGCCGATCTCTGAACCCAGAGCATCATCCATTCTGGCGGCTGGGCCCGCTGCACCGCAGGCTGGGGTGTGGGTCGCA